ACGGGATTGGATGGAGTGTCCAAATTGGAAAGAAAGGAGGGAAAAACGTTGAGTCAAATCTGCTTATTCCATCCCACATCCAATGAAGCCCTCCGTCTGAGAGGCGCTGTCCGCCACAATCGGTGCTGAGCGCTCCCCTCTTCACCATCTCTAAGGCAGCATTGCGTGGACAGTAATATCCATTTCAACTTTCTTCTTCTTAATGGTTGTTTTTAATTAAATTAGCTCCAGAACGCGAATATTTTCATTCCAAGAAAACTGGTAAAACAGTGGTTTTGTACCTTCTGACCTTCTGAGAAGTAACTGGAGGAGACTCTTGGAAAAGCATTATTATAAAATCCAATATAGTATGTCTTTTTTAATAAAACACGTGGTGGGGGGGCCGCTGAAAACACTAACTGGCGGCTTGGGGGAAGAAGAAATGGAAGGGGAGAAGTCTGAGGGTGCAGCGAAAGGAACGACGGAGGAGGAGTACGAGGCGATCCAACAGCAGATAGTGGATGAGAAGTAAGTGAGGGATGTTTGCCGGTGTTACACGGCTGTTTGCGGACAGTGACATGTGCAGTCGCTGGTTTTATGCTCACACACATCTCTTCGCAGATAAACGTTTGCTTAGTGCTTTGCGCTCTACATTGGAACTATTGTAGGCTACACGTGTATGGGGGTTCCGCTCCTTTTCACTTTTGGGTTTGTAATAACGTGAACAAAATTATCTTGCGAATATTAGTGTTATATCTTCTGTGGAGTCAGTTCACAGCGCTGCCTGTTGATTAATGTGATCACAAGGTGTCCTTGAGTGTCTTGAAAAGCACTTATAAATAAAACATTATATTATTATGATTGTTATTATTTTTTTTTCCAATTACACCAAAATATGCGTTTCAGATAACTAGGCCTATAATTAAGGTATGAAAAATATACCAATTTCAGATAAAACTGCCTTTTGGAATAGCAGGCGCAACTTTAACGATCACTCCGGATCATTTTAATTTCCAACTAAGTAATTTAGATATTTCCTGTATTGCAGTAGTTGTTTCCAGTACCTACTAACTTTAGAGTTTATACTTTTAATTTTATTTGAATCAGCTATTCAACGTTTCTATGTGGCGATAAGGCGCCCACATACGTTGCCGCTTAAAATAAGATATAAGGCGTAAAATAAGGTATGAGGTATATAAAGAAGAAGAAAAAAAAGGTCAGGGGCAGCCAGTTTCCCTTTGGCTGGGACGGGGTCCCCGGAGGTGATACTCTCCTAGAGCGCCACATGCGGCTTGCGGACAGTATCCAAAAAAAAATAAAAAAGACAAAAGCGAGTACCTTGGAGAGTGGCAGCTAACCCATAGAACAGTTCAGAGAGGTGAGTTTACTGTACATAACAAGCGTTTAGTCCTGTTAGCGTGTGCTGCCAAGCCTAATCTTATTAATTTTATTATTGTGCTGTTGCTTTATAGTGAGATTAGACTGTAACGAGATAAGCCCTGCTTTCTGATGGAGACCTGTTATATGGACAAACTGTAACTGACATGAGGTAAAAATACCCAGAGGCGACTGGTAACCCTGCACCCCTTATCATGATTGCACAAAAATGAGTGGAGTAACCACTGTCCACTCAGCAAAATTTAAAGATCATTTTCTATTCATGCAGTATTTATAAATCCTATTGAAATACCCATCAATTCAAGGATAAACATCTCAATTTCAGGTTCAATATATGTACAATAGTTGTCCCTGACTGCCCTCTGCTGGTTGTGTACTGTTTGCGCACTTAGATAAATATGAAAGTATAAGATCGCTGGACAGAACACATTTAGTCCCTTATTCTGTTATTATGTATGAATATATTATATAGCAGCTAGACAAAGGAACACTTTACAGTTGTTTTTGGGTGATAACTGTGGATCTCCACTGACTATCTGGTATTTCAATTTCTGCAGCAAGATACTAATCAAAAGATGTAAATCCAGTGATACCTCAGAACTCGAATTTAATCCGTTCAGAACTCCGGATCGAATCCTAAAAAGTTCGAGTTGTGATCGAATTTTCCCCATAAGATATAATGGAAAACCAATTAATTGGTTCCCGGCCCCAAAAAATTACACTTAAATATGTTTTTTTTAGCATTTAAACACAAAATGAACCGGATAAAACAAGAAGAGCATATACTGTACTAAACACATCTAAGCATATTTATCAAAACAGTAATTTGTAAAGTAAGAAAATAAATGTATCCAAACAATTTTTTTTCGAACTGGTTGGTTCGACTTTTAAGAAATTCGAGTTCTAATGAGTTCAAGAACCGAGGTACCACTGTACTAGGAAGCTGCATCAACATTTTTTTTTTACTTGAGAGATGAAACGCAATTAGTAAAAATTTCTTTCTTGCAAATCATGATGAGAAACGCAAAACAAAAAAGCACACGCACATTTATCAGTGACATCTTCAGAGATTACTCTTGATTCCACATTATGTTTCTCAACAGATATCACTGCGTTTTATATGCAGATGACCCTGTTTGACTACAATGACTTGCAGAACCTGTGAGTATAATGTGTGTCCCCAGGAACGAGCGGGAAGCCGGCTTTGCGCAGAAGAAAGCAGAACGTGCTGCTGTCAGGACTCACTTTCGAGACAAATACAGGTTGAAGCAGGTTAATGATGCATTATCACTCTTTTGCATTTTCTTTATTTTCCCTGGAAATGCTGTAAATGCAGTTCATGTCTTACGTATTGCAAAACAAGTGTAGGAAAAACTACAGGAAATTGCCTGTTGGGGCTTTGTTGAAGTCACACTCTCCTCATTTAAATGCTGCCAGACAGTCTTTTAAAAAGCATGTTTCTGAATTTCCTTTGTCCTCTACACCTGCTACCTTGACCTGTATTGGTAATATATTTGATTAGTTGCTTTTTGCATCTCTGGTTCCTTCCTTCTAGAATGATACAGACGTGGCCCAGATCCAGGAAGGAGGGGAGGTGCAACTGCCCACTGATCTGGCCAGAATGATCGCCGAGGACAACCAAGAGGAGGAGCACAAGCAGTCCATCATCGGCCAGCTGAGCAACATCCAGAACATGGACCTGGACGAGCTGAAGGACAAGGCGCAGGCCAGCATAGAGGACCTCAAACAGTGTGCAGAGAAGTGCTGTGTCATGTAATCCCACCTGAAAGAGACCTGCACCATCTTGCTCTCTGACATGCATCCTGTAACAAATATCATGATCCTATTTAGCTGTTTAGCAGACTATGATGTCTGAAACACCACCGTAATGTGTCTAAACTTCTCGTCTTTATAAACTCTATGGCTGATCGTGGGACAGTGCTTCACATCCGGTCTTTACTGGGAATTTACTGTGTCACCTCACCTGCGATGGAGAATAGCCTGCGCATACATCACTCATACCAAGTTGAACATATAGAGAATTTTCGCTGCTTTTAAAGTGTTTATTTATACAACTTTGAGTATTCAGCCTGATTTGCCAAAGCATAAAATGAGTGCATATGTCATGCAAACGGCATCTGTGTGGTTTTTTGTGTCCCCTGCCCTGCATATCAACCCACCCTCCGTCCCTTAGAGCCCACTCTATTTCTCCATTTTAGTAAAGTCCTTTTCATTTTGGTGTTCTTAGCTGATGTGATATGTGCTTTGTGCTTGTGTCGCAGGATTAGGACTATTGTAAAGCTATGTGTTTGTTACATACATAGTGCTTGGTCTGTCCATATTCAGAGTCATTTGAAAAGGCCATTTTTATTTGTAGTAGCCATTTCCATTATTGGACGATGAAGAAGGAAGGATCATTTTGTGTTAGGAAATGATTTACCACTAATCTGGGCCCTGAATACATTTTGTGGAGGCCAGAACCAAGGAGGGAGATGGTTGGAGAAGCAGAGACAAAATTTTCGATTTGTTTGTCGTATTCTCATCTCACACTGAACTGTTGTTTTTGTATTTCCGTGATTTTCAATGCTCTATAAAAACATGATGCATTTAAAATAACGACGATTTTGTTTCTACATTTTGATGTTATATTTAATATGAACACCAGAGGGCGGTACCACAGTAGCTCGACGATTTAGACATATTGCATACAGTATCACCGTAGGACTACAGAAATCAGGAGTCATTGACTATCTGGTACTTCAGTCTAGTTAAATCTGACATACAGTCACCCAACTGGCAGAATGAGATTATGTCCCATGTTTCACAGAAGGGTGAAGGCTTGAATCTTAGTTTTGCAAACAGGCAGACACCCTAAGTGTTGCTGTGTGTGTTTTTTTCATCAATTTCGGTGGTTAGAGGGATCAAGGTAGTTTCCATATCAATGGAAGAGGGCCTGTTTCCATAGGCAGTTTTCAAGTGCAGCATGAAAGGAAAGCGCTGTAAAATACATTGATGCTGAAGCCCTCCTCTATACGCTGGCTGCAAGGCGTGAACAATCTTTGGGTTCGAAAGACACTGGGCCAAAGCATGGCCAGTATGACACAAAGCGGGGTAACGGGCCAGAAAATACTATTCTCTCCCATTCAGTCCTATCAATCAGAGCTTAAAAGCCCAACAGCATGGGGGGAGTGAGCGAGAGGGTAAAGTGCAAAGAGGGCAGTCGGGGTCGTGACGCAGCACTCCTTTTTATAATTTATTTTTGCAATTACCTCGCCGTAAGACGTTTTGCGCCTGGATTTATCGTTAAACAGAAACACATTTGCCTTCCTTTGTAGCGGAGAGGGTCCACATGCGAGCCTCTAGCTGTGTAACGCCGTCTGTTGCCTGTTATTCGGCCTCCTTGCGTTACTTTGGCAGCAACATTTTATCTGACAAGAGGGGAGAATTTTAGGAGACCACACAGGCTGCAAGTTCTATTAAAAATATAAAATATGAACATTTTATTCTCTGTGACATGCAGATTGCCAAAAACCCATAGTTGCTATGGAAATGAATCCCACGTCTGACTCCTCAACGTCGGCCAATCCTCGGGCACCCCTATAAATGAGAGGGGGAGGAAAAACTTATCCCTTCTTTTTTCAAGGGGGTGGGGGGTGACAGCAAGAGGCTTAACGAGGCGTGAAGCGTAACCGTGCGAGGGACAAAGGCGCAGGTAGGGGGAGAAATAGCGAAAGTTAGGAGCGGGAGAGAAAGTAGGGGGAGATGAAAAACAGAATGGAGAGAGATGGACGTGCCGCGGTGAGAAAATGCACAGTCCGAAACCCATAAAACCGAAACAAATCGGTGTTTTCTACTCATGACAGGGTACGGTGACGTGGACAATGCCGGATAGACTGAGAAGTTTTCTTTCTTTTTCGTTTTCTTTTTTAAGATGAAGTTCATCCCCGCTCTCCTTTTTTTGCCTGGGAGTCGTAGTGTTTGGATGAGGTGGAAATCCTGCACAGCACTACGGGGTTTTATCGTATCCTGACCGGTGAGTTACACTCCTGCAACAAGCTCGTCTTTTGTGTTACAAACTGTCAAACCGTGCAGCGCGCTGCAAGAGAGAAGCCCAGTCTTACCCCCAGTATAAATGGGCTTTTTTTTTTTTTTTTGCTTGTACTTTTAATATAAATGCAGGATGTCGCCAAGGTTATCGGAAAGGTTGTGGACGTGGGGATTTCTAAAGTGAAAGTTGGCTGTTCTGTGAAATAGAGCGGCTGCATCGGGGAAGGAAACATGACAACTTGGTTCTGCGCCCTGGCCATTTTCGGCTGGGTGCTGGTAGCGCTCGATGCCCATTATGTCTGCTGGCAGGCGCTTCTTCGGTGTCAGCAAGAAAAAGACTGCGAACTAGCCTACAACCAGTACCTAGCGGCATGTGAAGCTAATATTAGGGGGAAAGGACGTCAATGTCCCAGTCACTGCATCAGTGCCTTGGTAAGACTAAATCAGACTCGCAATGGGCCAGATCTGGAAACATGTGACTGCGGCCAAGACACACAATGTAGGAGGGCGAAACGGGCGATCGAGCCTTGCCTTCCAAGAAGACATCCTGGAGACGCCTCGGGAATAGGATGCACTGAAGCCCGCCAGCGGTGTGAGGAAGAGCCCAACTGCAACTCCAAACTGACCGCCTACCTGTCCAACTGTGGCCAGTTATTCAATGGCAGGAGATGCACGACAAGGTGCAGGACCACAATCCAACAGATGCTCTTAATTCCCAGCGGGATGTTGCTGAACCGCTGCGTGTGCGACGGCGTGGAGAGACCTTTCTGCGAGGTGGTGAAGGACAACATGCGCAAACTCTGCTCTATTGGGGATAACGGCGTCTCCACGTCGTACGGGGAGATGGACGATGTTGTGTACGAGGATGAGGACTATGAAATGAAGTCGGAGAGAGAGGACACGCAGTCCGATTCGGGGGTCCCTCTGTCCGGTGCCTCCAAGTTGCCCTCTTGCTTTATTTTGTTGCATTTGGCGATGTTAATATTCTACTGGTGCAGACATTTCTGAAATTGCAGGGAGAGCTATACGGAAAACGTAGATGGGAGACGGCTTGTTAAATTTGTGCGAAGGGTACTTGGTGATAAATATTTGGGAGATGGATTATCATATGAAACGAGGGTATCCTTTTGTGTGTGTGTGTGTGTGTGTGTGTGTGTGTGCGCAAAGATCTGTGAATGCAATCAAAAAAGTAAAAATGCCAAAAGTATCGTATTTAGTTTGGTTACTTATGTTAAAATTAGGGTTGGGTAGGGGTTAAGGTTGTTATGTTGGGGTTAGAGTTTTTCCCATAGAAATGAATTGAGAGTCCCCACAAAGATATAACTACAAATATCTCTTTCTCTCTCTCTCTCTCTCTCTCTCTCTGTGTGTGTGTGTGTGTGTGTGTGTGTGTGTGTGTGTGGTAAAGTATGTTGTCGTACAGTGTGGAAAATGGGTTTTAGCATATTCGATTCAGTACATCGGACAACCTTCTATTACACTGCATTTAGAGAAGTAGTTATTTGAAGTGAATGTAACTCCTGTTCTTATTGGAACATACATATAAATCACTGCGCACGTTGTTTCATTGTATGTGTTGCTCTTTTATATATGTTGTGTTTTGTTTAATCGCCTTATGTTGTCCTTGGGACTTTATTAGACTTTAGATAAACACGGGAGCGTTCCCCCTTTCCGTTTGCTCTCCTCTTCCCACTCCAGCGCCCGTCCTTTGTGAGCATCTCACTTCAAATATTTGGGGTGAATCGCGAGAGAACAGGCGAGGTTCTGGGATCAAGTAGTTAAATTAACTGAAGTGCTCCTCTAGCAGTCACCCACTCTTCCTCCATCTCTCCTACTTTCTTTAACAATTGACCCACTGCCCCTCCTTACTCTGCCTTTTCATCGAGGGGGGACGCTGATTTACCATAAGTGTTTAGTGAGATGTTTGCCTCGAACTCCTTATTCATTTACACACTGAAAGCTATTTAAAATATAAAAAATATATAGCTTGTTTTCATGAATGTGGCTGGATTTGCCAAAACACATAATGACCAACTTTGCAATGACCAACATAAACTCGATGATTTTTATAACGTAGCCTAGAGTAATTTACCATAAAGTGCACGTTTTGATACCTCTGAAGATGGATCACGCCTTTCCCTTTTTGCATCTAAGTGCCAACATCAGCTATAGTGATAACTTTAAGTTTAACGCAATTATTACAATTAATGCATCTTCTTGATGATATAAATGCCTCGAGGACGACGATAAAGATATAGCCTAGCGTCACTGGCACTGCTGCCTTTAAATATGATTAAAGCGTTTGAAACAAAAAACTAGCTAACCAACCAACTAACTCATTAAAAAAATTCAACCCCCACTCAACTAAGACTCGTGAATGAGCTTGTGTCCAGACGTCTTTGCTGTTAGTACAGAACAAATTAGGCTAGCCCTACGTTTACAGCTGCAATCAGCTCTTGGTGGCTTACTGCGCAATTTTTGGAGTAGTTCTTAAACTAAACATTGACCAAAAACGAAGGAACCCCCCATAACACGCGATGCTGGCAATTCAAAATAATTTTTAAAAGCACAGAATGTGTGGTTCACTATTTCCCTAAAGATGAACCAGACCCTGTTTAGTGGTTTAATCAGCCCTGTGGATGACAACACCATCATGGCAGCTAATTAACACCACAGCTAGCAAAAAGGCCTATTTCATTGTATTTACACGTTTTCGGTTTGAATTTAACCCCAACATGCATATCTCACATGCTCTATAAATTTCCCCCCTTCACTGGTGAATGATGTAAGAATGCAGAGGTATGGAGCTGCCCCCCCATAGGGGATTCCCACAACAAAATCTCCTTTTATGCTACCATTTGAGCACCAATGCACTAAAATTTCTGCCGCTACGTTCGTCGCTGTTTTCCTACCCGTTCGTGAGTTACATCGCACAATTTTATCTGTTCCACATGGTTTGGCATGGCTTATTTTTGTATTATAGCACCAACTGGCAATAGAATGTCCCTAACTAGCCAGTATCCCAGATTTATTTCTTTAAAAATTCTAAGAGGTTAATGGGGGAAAAATGCCATCAAAGCGGTGATTACTTGTCAGTTTTTCCATTATTTGTATATAAATATGCCATCGTATTATTATTGCATCTGGTGAAATAGTAGTGTAGTCCTACTTTGTTTATGGATACCAAGCCTTTAGTTTTATGTATTAATGTTATAAAATTGCAGTTTGCTTTAAAGCAAACAAGTAGTTTTCATTATGCACCCGAAGATATAGTTGTGGGTTTCATTTGGAAATATTAGCTATGCTGTACCAGTCTGTATACTGATGGGATTTACTGGTCTAAACTGGTTTGGAAACAAATGAATGTTTGCGTTTTACAACTGGTTTAGGTTATCCATCCATTTAATACTACGAGGGAATGGCTTCCTGGAGCTGGGGTTGACGAGAGTAAATTTCTGCCAGTCTGTGGTTTAGTGTGGAAAAGAAACACTATTCGCAGTTGCCCGCAAATCCCTGGGGGTGCTTTCTCACTGCGAGTACATGCTGGACAGGGAAATACGGCGCTGGTCTGCTTGCTTTACCTTTTGCACTGACTTCCCTCGGTTTTGTTTTGCTTTAATGTGTATGAATACACTGGGGTAGTAAACAGTGCCACATGTTGCTTTATTTGGCTTTGTGCATTACCCGTTAGCGTTCTCCTGACTTTTTTTTGAAGCACTTTGCTGTAATATAACACCCAGTGTGGTACAGCCTTGAAGACTTTGCAAAAAAAGCTAGAGTCAGCAAAACCAAACATTTACTAAGTTGTCAGGTATCCAGCTAACTGTTTGCAGAAGCTGTTATTTTTTAATTGTTGCTTTCCATAGTTACACGCCAGTGAACACAGCCACGCTTAGTCATAATAGTTCTATCTAGCTGGATCCCACATGCTTTTCGTTCAGCCGTGGGGCTGTGAAGCATATTGACGGGAGTTGATTTCGTTTTCTTTGGAAGAATAAAACATCTCAGATTGCTCTTATGGACCCTGAGACCTCTGCTCAGCTTCTGGGAACCAAATCAAAAACAACATCAGCAGAGAGCCCTGAAATACGGGGAGGGGGATTAACTGTACCCGCACTGTGCAAGAGCCAATTTTTTTTTATATTCATTTTGTCAAATGTTTTATTTCTTCCTGAAACCAACTACAGATGAAGCACCACAGGAGAAGCCTGGATTCCTCTTCTTCTAGTACAATGTCCTATTCATGCTTACAGAATATCCCCAGACTGAGTGACTGTGGTGTGTATCAGTGGGGGTTGAGTAGGACCTTTCTGGTTCTTCCAGGATTAACCCCCCCCCCCCACCACCACCACCCAGCGTATAACTTTGCCTCTCAACCCAAATATCTTGGCCTCATTAATTGTATCAACATACCCAAAGAAGAGGGAACCGGAGAAGGGGATGCTCAAGAGCTCTTCATGGAATTGCAGTGAAACTAAGGCCAATTAAAATCTTGAGGGGAGGGGGCCCATGAAGGGGTTGGGAGAATAATAGCACAGAGGCTCTGTTGTTTACATCCTATCTCACAGTGCTTTCCCTAGATGGCTATGCTACCTGACAGACCTTTCCCATGAGCAGCTGGTAAATGATGTGAATGGAGGAATACTCAGAGACCGTCGATTCAGGCCGGATCTCACACTGCCATTCAGGGTGTCCTCCTGAGGATACCGCATGCCTGGGGGGCATGTTCTCACAACTATACCCCGCCTAATGCACGCTACCTCTTTTGTCAGTCATGCTGAAGTTAACTGGCACAGATACTTATGCCCATCACACTTGGGTCTCCGTCCCCTGCATCCCATCTCTAGCTGCAGTGCAGCCCCTCTGCTCCTTCTGCTGGTGTTTTTCTTGGCCCCAGTGTTTCTAAGCAACCTTTTCGTTTAATTTTTTTTCTTTAGTCCTTCAATTATGGCTTAGACCTGAAAAGGGTAGTACCCCACTCACAAAACAAAACTTGTAAACAAAAATATTAATTAAAAGGCTGTAAAAATTAATAGCAAATTGTGGCTCAGAGATTCAGCCCTGAGACTTTTATTAATGTGTTAATGAGCTGCAGCTATTGCCGAAGCTTGAAGAGTGATCTCTGCTTTTAAAACCAATATTATATATCACTGATATTACTTATTCATTGGTATTGGCATCAGTTGGTATCAGTTTTTTTCCTACTTAACAGCATTATTTTGCATACATATCTTCACATTTTTATACACCGATACTGAATAATCTAACTCTAAATGCATCCCCAAGCAATGCATTGCCCGTCCCCCTTTAAGATTCCCAGTCAAACATTCTGGATTCCTCTGCTGCATCTACATTATATGTCCCAAATAATCTGCCATTGAGGATGTCATGCTGTCTTAATGAAACTGAATAGAATCGTTTTGGTTTCGAGAGGAGTGGCAGGGGTTAACGCGGGGGCAGGCCAGGAGGTCAGGGGCTTGGATTCGCTTCAGCCTGACAAGATTTACTCGTGGGACTGCACAGCGAGAGAGCAGAGGAAGGTGGCGGCCAAGCGCAGAGCTGGGACACGCGATTATGGCACCCCCGCTGAGAATCCCGAAAGATGAAGGGGAAGCTCTTAAATGAGTAAAGATGGTCCAAAGATGTGAAGCAGTGGCTTATATTTCACTGGTAGAGGTGAGGCAGACACGTGAAGAATAGGGCTTTATGTAACCCAAGAAACATGGTACGAGAGTTGAAGGACAGACTCCTGTTTTACCAGAAACTGATCCCACTTCCCTGGTTCAAAATTGTAAAATATAGTTTTCATCACGAGACAATTTGCAAATGCACAGTAAGCCAACAGCAAACCTACTTTAGCAATGATTTCTTATGGATCACGAGTGAGAGGGACAGTGTCAGAAATCTGGTCTAAGCAGCACAATTCACCCTTTTACTTGCTCATATCTTTACCACCGTTTCTCAAAGCAACTCATTCCAGCTTCCAGTTGGGTCCTGCAGAACAAATAAAGAAGCCCACTGTTCTTTTTTTTATTCATCCATCCATCTATTTTTATGATTTCTCTGTGTTTTTATTTTGTTATTCTCCGTAACGTAACACGACATATAAATTATAATACTACACAAGAACACATAATAGTAGTGACAGTAATCAGATAAGTATTGAAACGGAACCAAGTTTAACAGGCATCAACGGTACCAGAACTTAACAGCACAACACAAACCAAAGATCGCCAAATGCACCCCGCCTCCCTCCCCCAATCACCCCCTCCCTGTTACCAAACCCAGCAGACCATCTTCCACAGCATCTAAACCAAGGGTCTCAAACTCCAGTCCTGGGGGGGCCGGAGCCCTGTATAGCTTAGTTCTTTCCCTGTTTCACCACAAATGATTCAGCTCAAGAGCTGTGTGGTAATTAGCACAAGGAGTTGAACCAGGTGTGTTAAATGAGGGTGAACCAAAAACTGTGTAGGACTCCGGCCCTCCAGGACTGGAGTTTGAGACCCCTGATCTAAACCAATCACACAAAATCCTTCACTTAACAGAAGCCTGTTGTTAACCACACTAGAGTTCCAGACTTAGTAGTGTTATGCTAAAATATGATACCTAAGTATTAATTGGTTGTACCAGTACTGAGAGTGGAGGATGGGTTGTGTAGATGAGGTCACCACATTAGAACTCAAATTCAATTAAAGCCCTTAAAGTGGCGGCGCCATCTGGTTCCCATACACACATGGCCCACGTCTGCCATAGAGTGTAGAATGAGATCATTATAAGGCATCTGAGTTTATTGAGATACCAATAAAAGATCACAGGTAAGGGGCTAAAAGCCTTCATCATTAATGGCTCTCTCAAGCCACTGGTGTGACTTGCTCTGAATTTGCTGCATGGCAAACTATACTGGTTAGTGTGGTGGATACATAGGCTCATTTTTTGCTGGTAGTGGAATTATTGTGCCACCACAATGGCCATGACACCACATTTATGTAAAAATAAAACCCAAACGCAGAAATAGATCTTGGCCACACTTGCCTCGGCCTTTCTGGGTGGAAATACAGCTAGTCTCCCAGGACAGGCTTTCTTCAAAACCCTTAGCTACTCATGTTGCCTGTAAATCTTTTAACTTTGCTTGTGTTTTGTAGCTCCTCTGAGAGGAGTATCTCAAACTGAAGGAGCACTGGAGTGGCGTTGCCTCGCTGTGGGCCCAAGCCTGCCGAGGGGTGAACGACGACCTGAATGGGATTCTGGGTACTTACACAATCAAAGGCCTGTGTGGGGTGAAGCCAGATCTTGAGGGGCTTTAATCTAGCTGGTGTGCCATGGCACAAATCCCTATTACTGCAGGCTGAGGAACAGGCCGCTATTCAAACAGCACTCCGTTAGAAAGATAATAGTTTTCATTTGTTTCCAGCATAGAATAACACTGAGAAATGAACTGTGCGCCTGGGAATGGGAACCATATGGCGGGGCCTGCATACCACACACATGCATTGGCACATAGTTCATCCAGAGCTTAAACCCACATCTGGCTCTTGATTCCTTCTCCACCAGGGCCATCTTCCAGATGAGGTCATGTGGAGCCAGAGCTAATAAAACCGCAGCCTGGAGCGAGGGGAGGCCTCTCTGTAGGGATGGGGAGGCAGACAGAGGCGGCCAGCCTCGCCCCCCGCCTCTGACAGCCAGCTTTGGGAACACTTTCACTCAGCTCTTCCGTGGTTGACATATGTGCCGCTTCAGTCCGCGGGGAGGAGGCTTGTCTGTTTGTAAGCTGTTTTCACAACGGCGCGCGTCTCCCGCCACACTGAGTCACCGCTTTGGCAGCACAACATGCAGACGTGTCTGCACTGACTGCCAGATGAAATGGGGATAAATAGCAACCGAGCCACAGTGGAATGTGACAGCAGTGGAGTGAATGGAATTGTGGGCAAAGAAAGCATGCTGTAGCTGCTATCTCTAGCTCAGGATTCTGGGTACCCATCAACATTTAAAGAGAAATGGGCCCTCAAACCTCTCTTACACAACCTCCTTGGCTTGTGAGACATCAAGCTATTGGTAGAAACTACAGCAAACCCTTAGACTGCATCAAGCAGCCATACTGCCTGATTTATTTATAATTGCAAACTAATTAGGGAGATGGAATCCTTTGAGTAACGACGTTATTGCCTTGGGAAGAAGGTAAAATTCATAACCCCTTGAGCTGTAGTCAAAGAGGAATCATGAAAACCATTCAGGCAAATAAAAGTATAAATGAAAATCTTAGGATAAGATGTATTGCCTCAGTGAAATCACATGGCAGAATATAACAGAATATTAAACCTGGGGCCCTGCTTAGCTAGTTTATCAGGCCAATATAGTCAAAAACAAAGAAATGCCTTTCCCTGCAGAGTGTGAGACCCTGTGATCTCTACTCAGAGCAAGAGGGAGTCCCACCCACCTTGGGCTTTCCCAGAAGCCTGGATCCCATCCCACCTGGTTTGTCTGGCTCCACTGCTGCCTAAGTTTATGAGATGAAGTGGATTCCCAGGCAATTTGAGCAGACTGCTATCTCATGGGAGCACCTATCTTTAGTAGTCAGTCCAGTCCCCCCATTCTCAGTGCAGGACAGAGTTTGGGCTCGAATGCTAGCTAAGTGCCCCCCAGTGGCCATCAGCATGGCATACTATCTGGTTTAAATAAAATCACCGAACAGATAAATAAAGCCCCAAAACATATACAAATACTGCCCCCCTATGGTAAAAACTACCAGCTATAAGCAACTGTTTGGAATGTGTTACATTTCACGTAGCACGCTCCGTTCACAAAGAATTCGTTAATATCTCTACATCCCTGCATCCTTATCCTGGTCATGGTCGCGGGCATATGTCCGTATCCAAATTATAAATCATTTCTCTTCCCTCGGTCTTGCTGATGCGGTTCTGTCACTGCAGATTTGTTGTTATATTCATAGATTAATAGAAATTATTCCGGAGAACACTTCCTCGCTTTCAATTATCCTTCGATAATCTGAATTAACTGTTTTCTGCGCAATACATTTACAAAGCAATTTATACCGCTGGTTGTACTGTAAAAAAAAAAGACATCTCGTCTCGTTCTTTCATTACATAATAATATCCTCACTAATAAAGTACTCGCATATAATGAAGTATTTTTAAACGTCTTACAGTTTAAAAAATTGGAATCTTCTTCTTTTTTGTACTCTTCAGAAGGTTTTAAAAAGTATATGAAAATGGAGGAGAAATAATGTAGTACTTTTGCTTACGACTTTCTTTCTTGCCGTTTTAAGAACATGTCACGCAAAATGCGGAACTACAGCGTGCGTGTCGGAATGTCGGGGGGATGATTTCGATGTTGCAACGAGCGAGTCCACTTCGAAATGTTTACGAAAGAGACCGGTTTAGGAAGTGGAGCTCATAATACTGATATTAAAGACGGCACAGCAGAAAAGCAAAAACGCTTAATAGGCGCATTTCATACTGAGAATGGAGGATGATGCAGAACTGTTTTATCGTCAGCTTCCGAAAGTGGTAATTTCTCGCCATTGATCCGTTCTTGAATGAACATTTGTATTGCAAAAATACAGCGGTATTATCTGGGAAGATAAAAATATTATTGGTAAAAGACATATCTTTGTTTCCCTATTAGCCAGCTCCAGTCGATCAAAATGAGTGATAAGTTATTTGAATGGAGATGCTTTTCTCCCTCTGATGAATGGTGCTGTCTGCTTTAATTGTTGGTGTCTCTGTAGGAGCTCCATGCTCACCTCAATGGCTCTGTGAGTGTCGCAACGATGGAGCGTCTTATAGCCCGCAAACCGCATCTGAACATCGACCATAGTATGACTGCCATCCTGAAGGGCCAGCGGCGGACACTAGACGAGTGCGTACCCTTGGCGTTACGGAACAACACTCCTAAAAACCTGAGCAGAAATACTTCTTTTTATCTCATCGTTTGCTTGATTACGATCATGTAACCGACATTTCAAAGATAGACTCTGTTACATTTTACGTCCTGCCAGCAGAGATGTAAAGGTAATTTGTTTTACAGGTGCTTTCAAGTTTTTAAAGTGATTCATCAACTTATTGACACAGAAGAAGACCTCTTAATGGTATGGCAACGAAGAGCTGTCAGTTACTTCAGTGTTGATTTTTACCCTGCTAAGTTGCCCATGGTGTATCTGCCTTGAAGAGCACAATAAATGTGCAGGTATTCAGGGATGTCTGTGTTCTTAGGTTACCAAATCAGTTATTCGGGAGTTTGCGGAAGATGGAGTTAGGTACCTGGAGCTGCGGAGTACGCCTCGGGCTGATTCAAAAACTGGTATGCCCCCATATAAGCAAATTACAATGGGCTACAACACCACGAGCAGAGAGAATATTGTTCAAAGTAATGATGGCTAAACTGACACTTTTCATGAGCCGTTTGCTGTATTTTTTGATCCCACTAGATGGTGCTGTCTGTTCGAAAAAGGGTTCAAAACATGCCCAAAGCAAGCCAAGAGCACCAGCTACTGGGATCAACAAATACCACAAATAGCTCCTTAGGGGCCATTTTGGCCATCAGTAGTTCATTGCATGAATTGGCGGAGTTTAAATATTTCTCCCAATATGTGCATTAAACCTGTATGATTGTGATGAGGTAGACATGACCATCTTGTGGGGCATTCTGTCCAGGGGTTCCCCAGCATCTGTGAAAGAGATGGGGGGGGGGGGGTCTTGTGCATTTGCCTGACTAGTCTAACATATGCTTTTTTGGAGGGAAAAATCCATCTACTCTTTTGCTTGAAGCTTAAGTCAAGAGTATCTCTTTAAAAAAACATTCTAAGTGACAGCCTACAACACAGTCACTTTATAGTATCATTTAAGGTAGTTGTCCCCCACACCAGAATTCCCCAATTCTATTCCTGGAGGGCCCATCTGCAGACTTCCCTGCTAAAACACACCTAATAAACTTTGCAATTCACTGTTGAGCTGAATAAGGTGTGTCTGAGCAGGGAAATCTGAAAACTGAAAGGGTCAGACGGAGTTAAAGCCCTTGCTCACAGGCCCATCAGTGAAATTCTGAGATTTGAACCAGCTACCTTCTGCATGGAGACACGGTATCCTAATCTGCTGAGCCACCTCATTTAGCCTGTTTCCTCTTATTATTGTGTTATTATACATATTAATTATTATACATGTAAATATACCAGCAAAATCAGTTGCATATGGTTATGTCTGGCATCCTACACTCTTCACATTAGCAAAAGCTTTATTTTTTTTATTAAATTCTTTAAATCCTTTGTTTTGTAAGGTCTAACAAAGAGAAGGTATGTGGAATCCATCATTGAAGCCATCAGACAGTGTAAGGAGGAGAACGTAGACACGGAGGTCAGGTAAGACTCCAGCTGTTTCTTCTAGAAGATGTTTTCGCATACAGGTAGATGAGTACATGTCCAATTGTTCATGAAGGTTCCTGGTGGCAGTAGATCGAAGGAATGGAGCTGAGGTTGCCATGGAGACAGTCAAGCTCGCGGAGGATTACATGCTGGCCAGTGACGGCTTGGTTGTCGGCGTGGACCTCAGCGGTGACCCAAATGTCAGTTGATCCTGTCCCAGTTTTTTTAGTTTGCGCGGCCTTCGTTTTGCTTTAATAATGGCCGGTGCGCTCCTCGTGTGATTTTACGGGACATTTATTCCTTCTGAAGGTGGGTCATGGCAAAGACTTCCTGCCTGCCTTGCAGAAGGCCAGAAACTGTGGGCTGAAGTTGGCACTGCACATGTCTGAGGTACTTACCGATACATCAGGCCAGGAGGGCAGGTCTTCCTGCAACAAGGCCTGACCACTCACTTTCAATAGTGCTGCGTTATCGCAAAAAGTAACATATTAAGCACCAAGAGTGCAAAATCATCTGTGCAACTAAAGCATAATTCTGATTGTAATGAATACATGAAGTCAGACATTTCGCTCTTTCTGTTGTCTTATCTGGAGTTATACTTAATAACTTCTCATCCATTTGAGGGTCCATTTCCCAAAAGCCTCATACCACTTGGAATAGAACAGAATATCTTTGTCATTTATAATGAAACTCTGTGTGTTTTCCCACCAACACTATATATTATAAAAATCAAATAATACATTTAAAAATGTCAAATATAGACATACAGTTTAAAGCTAACCAAAATTTCAGTTGAAGTACATTCTCATTCTTCTTCAATTATCACAATAATTTCTGTTTTCAGAAAAGGCATGTCAGTTAAGTACACATTTACACTTTGGATTTATACAAAAAAGTGAAGTTCTGTTTCAGGTTCCTTCCCAGAAGGAGGAGTCAGAGCTGCTGCTGACCCTCCCCCCTGACAGGATTGGCCATGGAACTTTCCTACACCCAGAAGTGGGCGGGTCTCAGAGTCTGGTGGACAGAGTCAGAGAAAAAAATATTCCTTTGGGTAAGAAATGACCACCTGTGCACATGCTGGCCAGTCACACTGAAACATTAGACAGTGGATGTCAAAACCTTGACACAATCATTTGACGTTACTAAGTTTCTTTCAATAAATGTCAATATTACACTGTGAATCTTCTTTGAAACAATACATAACATATTTCTTGCTTATGAGATGCTGAAATCTGCAGGCTTTTAATTTCAAGGTAACCATTTATAGGACCTGAGATTTATACTCAATGGCCACCATTAGGAAGACCCAGACAGAAACAGATGTATCCCAGTTTTTCCCTTGAGGGTTTTGAGGGTCGACAAGTTAGGATTTGCTGAATACTTTTCTGCGCACCATTCCTTTTCTGCATTTCCTGGTAGCTTTAACAAGTCTAGTTATTTTCCTCTGACCACTTACTGACAAGTTGCTTTTTCTCTCACAGAGCTGCCACTGACTGGATGTTTTTTTGCGTATCACATTATAATGCGTTCACTCTAAACGCTGTACTATGTTAAAATAGGAGGGGTTGTTTGTGAGATGCTGGAACCTGTTTTTGGTGCCAATAATCGCACCACATCGACAGTTGCTTAGGTCATGAATAATAGTTGTTGTAATTCTTAGTCAAACATTTTATGACCCTCTTGACGCTCTCTGCTTGCTGTATGTATTCAGTTGCAGCCACCTGGGTTGATGTTTGATGTTTGGAAGGTCAGGCGGGTTGCATTAGCAAGCAGGTCGCTGAATACATAAGCCTTTCTGAAGTCCATTGCACCCTTCAAATGAAAGGGTTTACCACATCCAGTATCAGTATCCTCTTTTCTTCTCCTTTGCAGAGCTGTGCTTAACGTCCAATGTCAAGGGTCAGACTGTAGGGTCCTACCAGAAGCATCACTTCCCATACTGGTATCAGCTGGGACACCCCTGTGTGCTCTGTGTGAGTTACACAGTTGTCAGTGTCTTTGTGTTTCTCATAATAGCATCTGTATAAAAATTTGACCGAACCCCCCGTCCTTATGTCCCTCTAGACGGATGATAAGGGCGTGTTCAGCACCAGCCTCTCTATGGAGTACCAGCTAGCTGCGGCCACGTTCGGCCTTAGCCGCGAGGCGGTGTGGACGCTCTCCCAGCAGGCCATCGGCTGCAGCTTTGCCACAGACGCCGTCAGGCAGCAGCTGCAGCAGAGGTGGGCGCTGCTCCTGCCTGAGGTCTTCCCGACATCCAGCTGCCTTCACAGGGAGCCCACGGCCCTTCAGACATGCGGACAGGGACTCTGAACCGGCATTTTCATTGGACCACACTTTATGCGTGGTAATCCTTATGACTCTTGTGTGTTTATTCGTTGTCACTGCTCATGTTACACTGGGAAATTCAGGCTTGATCCTATTGCAATTAAGGAAAAAAAAGTTTAGCAAAGTGGCTCATGTGACATCTGCTTTAATAAATAAGCTTATCAGGTCCAATGTGTTGCAGCTTCTCTGTTTACCATGTTCAAAATGGATTAGTTAGTAAATCCTTTATGTGAAAGAATTTCAAAGGTGTCTGTTGAAATACTCAGGTATAAACCTGAGTTAACACAATCCTGTCATTTAGAAACTGAAAAGCAGCAGCTACACTGGGAAGATATAAATGCTGCTTTTCTAGCAGTTGAGCACTATTCAAGCTATGTAGCTTTCTACAAACTGTACTGTGAATCTTCCTGGTTTGCTCAGCTCTGAATACCAACATCTAAACTGAGGTAGGTTTCCCAAAAGCTCCCCTTTGTAACATATACAGGTGCTGGTCATATAATTAGAATATCTTCAAAAAGTTGATTTATTTCACTAATTCCATTCAAGAAGTGAAACTTGTATAATGTATACATTCATTCCACACAGATATATTTCAAGTGTTTATTTCTTTTATTTTTGATGATTATAACTGACAACTAATGAAAACCCCAATTCCGTATCTCAGAGAATTAGAATATTACTTAAGACCAATACAAAGAAAGGATTTTTAGAAATCTTGGCCAACTGAAAAGTATGAACATGAAAAGTATGAGCATGTACAGCACTCAATACTTAGTTGGGGCTCCTTTTGCCTGAATCACTGCAGCAATGCGGCGTGGCATGGAGTCGATCAGTCTGTGGCACTGCTCAGGTGTTATGAGATCCCAGGTTGCTCTGATAGTGGCCTTCAGCTCTTCTGCATTGTTGGGTCTGGCATATCGCATCTTCCTCTTCACAATACCCCATAGATTTTCTATGGGGTTAAGGTCAGGCGAGTTTGCTGGCCAGTTAAGAACAGGGATACCATGGTCCTTAAACCAGGTACTGGTAGCTTTGGCACTGTGTGCAGGTGGCAAGTCCTGTTGGAAAATGAAATCTGCATCTCCATAAAGTTGGTCAGCAGCAGGAAGCTTGAAGTGCTCTAAAACGTCCTAGTATACAGCTGCGCTGACCTTGGAGCTCAGAAAACACAGTGGCCCAACACCAGCAGATGACATGGCACCGCAAACCATCACTGACTGTGGAAACTTTGCCAGCTCTGTGCCAGCCTCTTTTGCAATGACCTTTTGTGTCTTGCCCTCCTTGTGCAAGGTGTCAATGGTCGTCTTTTGGACAATCGTCAAATCAGCAGTCTTCCCCATGATTGTGTAGCCTACAGAACTACACTGAGACCATTTAATGGCCTTTGCAGGTGTTTTGAGTTAATTAGCCGATTAGAGTGTAGCACCAGGTGTCTTCAGTACTGAACCTTTGCACAATATTCTAATTTTCTGAGATACTGAATTGGGGTTCTCATTAGTTGTCAGTTATAATCATCAAAATTAAAAGAAATAAACACTTGAAATATATCAATCTGTGTGGAATGAATGTACACATTATACAAGTTTCACTTCTTGAATGGAATTAGTGAAATAAATCAACTTTTTGAAGATACTCTAATTATATGACCAGCACCTGTAGTTGAAACAGTCCAGTTGCATGTTGCCAACTGTGCAAGTTACTAATGTCATTATCGCAAAGCAGGATTTCCTCGCTTAGGGCGATAACTTGTCAGAGTTAAAGGTACCTCAGTTTGAATGGAGGCCCATTGACCCATTTCAGGCTGATTATACAGACCTTCCTGCTCAACCAGTAAGTGCTTTGCTTACCCAGTCTCCCATACTGTAGCTTAATGAATTTTTGGTGCATATTTGGTTCCATTTTGACTTGAATATGGGATTGTCCACCCAAGGAATGTTACTGTTCAGAAGAAACATGACCACAAGTGATCTGCCATTTGTTTATTTTGTACAAGGGTAAAGAATATTTACCACACAGGTACCACTGACCCTGCCCCCCCGTCCCCCCTGCTACAATTGCACTCACCACCCAAGACATCTTCCCGCCAAACTTCATTTCCATTACTGTACTGCCAACACAAACTATATCAAAGAACTGATCTACATCTGCATAGATAACAAAAGGAGATGTATGGCCATTGTTCAGGGAATTCACAACACAGAAGGCCAAAGTGGTAACGCCACAGGCCTTTAGCACAGTGAGCTACTGGTCTACATTTAACACACATGTACGAGTCTGACAACAGGATCTGCACACAATGAGTCTCCATCTTCCAGGAGCTTTAAAAAGCATTTCATTCCACCCATCTCAGTCTTTAAGATGCTAATGGAAGAAGTCCATCACTTTTTTTTTTTTTTTTTTATTTGAGACCATTGTATGATTTCATGGAAATCGGCTCTCGTTTCTTCTGGTGTAACAGTAGCTTACATGAAGTCACATCAGCCATATAAACAAAATTATAGCATAAACTGGCTAGTACCAATCTGGAAGTTGGTGGTTGATGTGCTGGTCACTCCAGTTCACGTTTGTGTTCCTGCAGCCTTGCCCCTCTCCTCCATGGTAGCACAGTGGAAGCCGCGAGTTCCATCCGGCCCACGGGGCAGCCGTAGAACACCCAAGGGCAGTCCATCTGCATTCTGGATCTTGCGCCCAAGCATGGGGCTGCCCACTGGGCTGCTCTCCTGGGAGGCAACTTGGCGTCGCCGCTGTACCCAGGGGCTACCTGAGGGAGTCAGGCTGCTGTCGGAGGAGTAGTCCGCCCTGCGCTGGCCAGACTCGGGGCTCAGTCGGCCCTCGCTGGCCAGAGGCGACTTGCAAGGGTGTGGAGACTTGCGTAGGGAACTTGGACTGGCACGGGGACTTGACCAGGGGCTGGACCATGGGGACACTGCTGGGCTCAGGTGGTTGTTCTGGTGGTAGCTGGTACCTGCTGCTGGGGGGCTCAGTTTATTCTTCGGCTGGACCTTGCGGCTGAAGCGAGGGGAGGTGGGATTGCTTTCCGTTTCAGAGGAGCTACAAGCAGAATCCTCTGCCTGATACTGCAGCTCCCGCACACGGCTGTTCAAGGAGCGGTTCTTTGATGTCCCATTGGCCTCCTGTGGTTTGTCCTTGGGCAGCTTCTTCTTGGGTGGCTTGGTACCAATCAGGACGACCTTCACGCCGAGTGGGCCAGCCGCTCCATCCCCACAACCCATAGCCTCGCTGGCTTTGACCGCGGCCTCCACCTCCTCGAACTCCACGATGGCGCACTCCTCGGTGCTGAGCTGCGTGTAGCGGCTGCTCAGCTTCTTCAAGTCCACGGGAAGATCCTTCCCAGGCTTCAGCACCCGCACGGAAGCTATGGAGCCATACGCCCCAAAGGCCTTGAGCAGGAGCTCCATGAGGTGTTCTTGCTGCGTTGGACCGGCCCCCGCTCCATCCCCCTCCCCTGAGCTGCCCTGTAAGGCCTGGCCCAGCTCCGGCCAACACTGCAGCTCACTAAGCAGCAGCATGCGACTTGGCAGACTCTCACTGGCGAACACGGGGACAGCAGACCGCCGGCGCACCTTGCGCCCCTCCTCGTTCAGCTCCAGCATGGTGGACCGGCGCAGTGCGTAGGCCGTCATCCGCCAGTCTCGAGTCAAGTGCTTCACCTGGGAATAGGCAACAAAAGATCAGAGAACATCCAAAGCTCAAATATGGTAATTCAAGTGCTCATTCCAGATTCAAACCATTATTAAAAAGCTACTTTATGGCAGAAGTACACTGGATTTGCTTTACGTTCCACTGCTATTGCAGTGCATGATGTTCTAGCTTTTCCCCCATTGTGCCCAAATAGCTTTGCTTCAGTCCCATGACAATTAACTAATTAACTATTATGCAATTCTGTACCTTGGCACTGTAGACTTCGGGGAAGCCCTAGTTTGGACTCCCCTAAGTGTATGTGGTTACAAGATTATTTCCAGGATGATTACAATTTTTGAAAGAGGGAGGAAACACAGCCAGCAAAATGTACCCCAACTGGCCTGGGGGGGGGGGTTGAGAGGTTCATTTTGGGAGCTGTGGGCAGTTTGGGAACCCATGGTGTAAATAACCACGACTTAACCAGCTCTTTATGAAGACGCTGGGTACCTTCTTGAAGGATGTGAGTAACTTTATGCTAACATAGCCCAGCTTGTTCCGTCGGATGTGCTTGAGCAGGAAAGCGTCATGCTCCAGGTTCTCGTCAGACAGGTAGTACTCGATCTGGGCCACCAGCTTCTGAGAGAGCTCGGGGTCTGGTGGCTGCCAGCTCTCCTCCTCAGCTTCCCCACCACTCGTTCCTGCGCCACTGAGTGTTAAAGGGGGGGGGGGGGGGGGGGGGAGTTTTACCCATTGTATTTCTTATTTATGCCCACTGCTACAAAGCCAAATTGTAGTGTGTGTGTGTGTGTGTGTGTGTGTATTATATATATATATATATATATATATATATATAAATAATATACACACACACACACACCTGGACTAAAGTTGTTCAGTTCCAATACAAAAAACAATCTTCAGGATGTTATTCAATGCAACTTGCAGCTACTCATCGCTGAAGATGCTGGATTGGTGGAAAGCACAGGGCTACCAAAACTACTTAGAGAGAGCAAGTTGCAGTATTGCCCCATCAGAATACCAGTGGTTTTGGTTACAAGCAGCAAAGACAATCTAATAATGAAAGTGTCACTGCAATCCTGGCAATCAGAACTTACATTTACATCATTTGGCAGACGCCCTTAGCCAGAGCGACTTACATAAGTGCTTTAAGACTCTACAATGAATTTTTCCCGATACTAGCTCAATAAAACCAAGGCTGTGAATACCATCGATCTAATACTCTGTTGGGAAAGTGAGTTTTTTTTTTTTTTTCTCCCTTTCAAAAAATGGAAAAAAAAACAGTATAATGCCAGAAGTGCTAATTCAGGTATTTCTGGAGAAGGTGTGTTTTAAGTCGTCTCTTGAAGACATTCAGTGACTCAGCTGTTCGAACATCTAGGGGGAGTTCATTCCACCAACTTGGTGCCAGAACAGAGAACTTCCCAAACAGCACAGTATCAAGGGTGCTGCAATGGTGCCTGTCCATTAAGGAGTTGCAGATACCTTACCCCCCTGCAGTCATAACTGATTGCAAGGGGATTTTAAAAAGGTGTTCACAAATGAAAACTGGTATTGGTGAAGGTAATACCTCCAGAAGTAAATCAGGGAACGGTACCTGACTGCCATAATGAAAACCAAAAGCCATTAGCAAGTGGAACAGCGGAGTTTTAGTGATCTCGGTCTAGGCTAGTCGAATTCAAAGAATAACCCAAACCTTCGTTTGATTAACTGCGCAAAAGTACCAAAGCAAAACACGTATGACGCTGGGTCATATCGGCAACAGGTCCAGGTAAAGACGCCGTTCCCGAATTGACACGCCGCTAGAATGACCTGCGTCAGTGACGACACGAAGGTGACAATACAAGGGCGTGCTGGTGATATGATGAGGTCACGTCACACCTTCACAATATTAAGTAATGTTACAGTGATATAGCGCCACTAAATACGTTTAGAAATGTAAACACGGTTTTTTATAATATTCTTGCATTAATAAAATTAGTTACCTTGATTTTCCCCGTCTTCCAGTGTCGTCTTCACTACAACTGCCGCCGTAGAAATTCAGAGAGTTTGAAGGCATCTCCGTAGCGGGCTCCTCATCTTCTGCTTCCTGGATGGCCACGGTTATGGTCACCTGGGTCCCGATCTCCTGTTGCTGTTGGTCCACCATGATCTCTTCAGCTAACGCCAGCCTAGTTGAATCCAGTGTTGCTTCAACGTAGGCTGCCAATACCATCGGAGCGCTCACGCTGGGTAATGACCGGTCTTCCTCCAGAATGTTTACTTCCTCCCCTTCAGAAATGTTGACAATGGGATCTATCGCCGCGTTGGTCACCGGATCCCCAGTGCCGTGGGTCTCAGTGGTAAGCAGCGCCCTACGCTTTTGGCACCAGTGCCGGTGTAGAGCGAAGGGGAGCCCAGAGACGCGCGCCACGGCTTTCCACAGCTCCCAGACCCTGCCCCACTGCAGCCAGTGGAGCGACGAGGAAGAGCAGCCGTGAGCAGAAGATGGGCTGATGTCTTGTGTTTGTACTTCCTGATGTGCGAGGAGAGTCCGCTCTCTGAGACGAGCCCTGGGATTGGGCCATAGCGTCTTTCCGCACGCATCCCCAACCCACCAGCAGAAACCGAGCTGGAGCCAGGGGGGAGGCAAAAGCAAGGAGAGGCAGCGGAAAAACGCTTTTATCAATGCGTTCATTTTTTTACACGCTATATTTGCGCTAAATGTTTACATTTATAAAGAAAAAGAACCACCACCACCTGACACGTGTGTGCTTCCAATGAGAAACACGATTTTTTTTTTACTGCAAGTGTTTAAAAACTGTCGGTAATCAGAGAAGGACGCTTTGCCAATTAGTAGGGTCAATCACTAATAGCTTTTTAGACTTCGGATAATTGGATAACAACCGCCTACATGCATATCGAATGATGTATGATTTTATGGTGTAGGTACTTCATCATAAACTGCTCACTGCTCATAGGACAAGTTAATTGAGTTTATAACCATGTGCATCGCAAGCCAGATACCAGGGTAGTTTAAATTGATTTTCGGCGTGTGTTTTTTTATGTTTCACTTTTAATGTTTAGTAAGCATCTAATTTTTATCATTCTGAGCAGCCGCTATGCTCATGCTCTTTGATGTTGGTAAATCGCACATCGTTGGTGCCTTTGTCCAAGCAGGGGCTGGTCCGTCGCCTCCTCCCCTTTGGCAGCAATCAGCCAGCCGACAGAGTGACTCACTCCCCGCACCGCAGGGCGCTGCCTTGGCGGCGCGCCGCATTGTGCTTGGCCGCGGACGCAGGAGCGCCTCTGCGCTGAGCCAGCAGCGGACGCCTGGGATGGACGCGGTAATTTCCCTGTAGTCTCCCGGAAAAGGCCCGAGAGTGCTGTTTTTACGCCCGTGAGCTCACGATGTGGTGTGAGGTGTGCAGTGGAAAGCAGCACTTAGGGACGGCTCAGACGGTAATGACACATGCGAGGGGTGAGGAGCTAGACATCTTCTGAAGGTTGACGCTGCACCTGAAGAAACCTGCACATGCATTGCCTCTGATTCAGCGTTTCTCCTAAAATTGTGTCATCCCTTCACTGTATAATGTGTAATTCTCATCCAGTGACATCCCATCTACTGCTTCTAAACAAATCTACACTTCGCACTGAATCATTTCCCTCCCCTAAAATAGTGTCCCCCTTTGTACGCTATGTGTATATAATACTCATCCAGCACCTTCTGTATCTAAAGACATTTCATTTACACGTACTTGTATTCGCTATGTGTGTGTGTGAATACTAAATAAATTCTCTCATTACTTTCGATATATTAGAAAAAAAAGCAAATAACCCCTGCACTTCTAAAGGAAGTCAAAATCGTGGTGATTCATGAAATTAGCCAGTTCTAATATTTTCATGCTAGGATGTGTGTGTTTGCATGGGAAGTTTTTAAATGGGGGAGAATATTTACGTTGGAGGGAAAAGGAGAATGCGATGCACGAATATAAACTAGTAGAAACTATAGTATATTCTTACTCCAATGGTCCTTTTACTCAAAATTAGATATCAGTGTGTCGTGAATACCGGGAAAATACAGTTACACGTGAGAACGGTAACAAACTCCTAACAGGTTGGTGATATTTTTCTTATGGAAAAATTCACGATGTTTCCAGTATGTTTAATCTGTTGGTTTTGTTAAGGTAACCAAAGAAAATATATTGATTCAAAATTCTTTTATCCAGAGTCAAGTAGTCAGTCCAATACTAATTTTGTATGTGACAGAAGGCTCCCTATAGCCAAGAAAACTCTAATCAGTTGTTTTAGTACTTCTTTTCTGCTGCTGACTTGTTCGTCCCCCCCCCACAACATAAAGCAATGACAACAAAAAGTTGACTCTATATTTGTTCAATATTGTCTTTCTAATTTTTCTCTCTCTCTCACACACACACACGTGCACACAGAGAGAGAGAGAGAGAGTCGTGTAATCATATCTTTTTGGGGATCGCTCATTCATATCTATGGGACAAATGCTAATGCTAACTATGACAACCTTAACCCCTATCTAACCTTAACTATAAAACCAAACATAGAAATACAAGAATTATGGTAATTTTAGATTTTAGATTCGGTGATTTTTTGATTGTAGTCAGAAAATTTTATGAAACTGAGTTTTTGCTTGTGAGGACTGAAGAAGTGGTCCCCACAATGTTAAAATAACATATTTCTCTCTCTCTCTCTCGCTCTCTCTCACACAAACACTATAACATGGGGCCACCATCATTTTACAATGTTATGAAGGTACAGTGTTTACACAAATATGGTTCCTGTGCTTCTCTAAAAATGGCTGTATATTCCTAGGCTGTTATACAACCATGTCTGTGCCATTACAAACCCTTATTGCGTTTACAGTCGCTAATTGACGTCGTGTCCAATTAGGATCTGAGGGTGAGATCTGACTCCTTAAACTTGGCCCATATTACCTTTTCACTTGCTCTGGCGTCCTGGTTTTGTGATCCTTACACCAGGGTATATGTGATTGTACACTGGCCTTGGATAAAAGTGGATCCTGAATGACAGCCCTGCCATAAATTCCAGTTTTTCGAAGCTTGCAGTTTTTGTCGGGTTTGCGTCACTGAGGTGCTGATTCAGTTCGGTGGTAATGAGGCCATACTCCCGTGGTATTCTGTAATTATCCTGTTAAATGGTTGTATTTCCCAGTCGGTGAGCTGCATCTTATGTCTGAGTTTTTAAACCTACTCCCCTGGCACTTTAAATAATTTAGTAGTTTTTGTGACCACTGCACCTGCACTTTCCGCCTGGACTTTGGCATTGCCTCAGCCTTTGTAGTGTTTTTAAGCTTCCATTACACACTTTTGTTTCTATTTTCAGTTTAGTCTGGTACCATACTAGTATATCTTTCTATTTCTCAGGTTCAGTCCATGTGTCAGAACAAATACATCTCTGTAGCCATCTTTCAAAACCATTATCCACTCTGTTCACTTGTGCCCCTTACCAGGTGAATACAGGCCGCGAGGTGAGAGAGCCAACTAGTTGTTCATAGATAAATCAATTTGTAAAAAAAAATAAAAATGCATTAACAATGAATTATCACACATTAACAATAATTCCGCATTTTCATCAGTTTATATTGACTGCAGTACTTTTATTTATGGCTGATCCGTATGACTCAAAGGGCAATAATCACCGTTGGCCAGCAGGGGGGAGCAAAGTACCTTCTTTTGAATTTACCGTTTATTTTTTACACCATTATCTGTTATTTGTGCAAATTAATATTTTTTGACCTGCATGCTTAAAATGCATATATATGTTAAATGTTGTAAATTTCACATCAATACTTCTGACCCTTTTAAACTGAATGATTGTCTTATTGGAAATGTTTTTAAAATTCCAACGATCTCTTGTTATGTGACGTAATATCGAGCGCCCCCTGCTGGAACAGTGAAAAATCCACCAAGCCAGAACCGACTTTCTGTAAAAATGACGGTTATTTTCTGTAAAATTCCAATTTTTTTTACAGTGTAGGTCAGAGGCACCCAACAGGTTAGGCAAGTTAGAAAATTTATAGTCTGGCCAAGATAGACACCATCTTTTCAGTATAAAGGGTCACAGTCACAAAGTACTCAACTGGTTGTTTGAAACAAAACCTTTGTCTGGATTTGCTAATGAAAGTGAAAGAGAATTAGCAAATTAGCAAATCCAGACAAAGGTTTTGTTTGTTTCATCTGAAATACTAGGTGGACATTAGCCATTTATAGTTTACTAAAATAAGCCGCTAATGAAAGTTAAAGAGAAACTGTACAGTATTTCTATAACTGACTCACTGTCTCCATTCACCATAAACCTGCATTCAATATGTGGAGCAGAAACGGGAAATACCCAGTATACCAGATATCCAAATTAATTTTTAGACACATTGTTTTATACATACACTAAGTCAAAGGTACCCAACAGGACTGAATTACCATATAACCCTAACCATACAATTGTTCCCCCCATGATTGGCATGGTGGCATCGGGGACTACTAAGGAACTACGGAAGGAACAAGTAATGAATAACACAAGTCAAATACTGATCTCATGTTTGTAAGAAATGTTTAATGATTGTACTTAATGTTACATTTTGACAACGGTTTTACAATCTTTTATTGTTGGAGCAACTCCAACAGTAAACAACAGCTGAAGGACACACTTTAAGCTTCTACGGTGGTTACCATGCACTTGTTAAAGACAAGACCTTGATGCGAAAATGGTGGACTCTGGTTGTCACATAACAGAGCATTCCACCTCATTTCCAAGTACAGCGACTGCAGGATTTTGTCCTATGCTAATCCCAGTTCCCAGTACCCTCACCTCAACTCCACCCAGTCCTACTTTCACTCCAGTATCAACACCCAGTCCTATCTTTGCCTTGATAGGACCAGCAGAAGCGGAGGCACTTGCGATCTCTGCACTGGCCATTGCTGAAACTCCTGCCAGAGAGACTGAAGCCCCAGCAGAGGCATTTGGCCCCTTGGCTTCAGCCTCAAACACACTGTACTCTGCCTTGGCAAGCCCCACTCCAGCAGCTGCATACGCTCCAACCTTGGGAAGACGCTTGCCTGGTTTGTCGATAAATCCAGGGATTTCATATGTCATTGCCTTAGTGTAGGTACCCTTAGCAGAGGCAGCCCCTTCTCTGTCATAGTAATCGATCACGTCTAGAACTCCTTCTGCTGAGGAATCAACTGTGAAGACAGGACACTTTCAGTCACATTCAAAATAAAAATGAAAATAAATTTTCGGAAAAATGTTAAATAATCAAATACCTTTAACATTAAACTGTGCCATCTTAGGTTCTGCTTTGTTCTTGGACAGTCTAGTTGGAAGAACTTGGTCTCTCTCTGCTAATAGCAACAGGACACCAAATTGATATTTATGTATAGAGAAGGGGATTTTGCTAGCTAGGGGCCTGCCCTCTTCCTGCCCCTAGAATAGAGTGGGTGGAGTCAGCGAAAGATTTTACAGCAACAGCGTACAATCTTTTGCTGCTGTGGACTTCATGATTCCAAGACCATTTATTGCCAATGCTTTAAGTGTTTGGGGATTTCTGGGCAGAAAGTCCCATTTCTCGGGTTTGTTATTAATATGTGTTTCAGTTTCATTTTCAAGTTGAGGAGAGCCTTCACCCTTCATTCCATGTGGACAGGATGTTTTCCTGTACATTTTATCACCTCTTTCCACCCACCCTGAATAATGGACCATTCATTGTCCAAAAAGCTTCAAGTCTCTTGACACCATCAATTTCTCCAGTCCCCTTTCCCAGATTGTTATGAATGTGCTTCCTTGTTTCATTGTCAAGTTGAGGACCAATGTATGAACTTAAATTGTTGTGTAGCATGAGGATATTTTGGTGTTTATTTTGTCACTTCCATTCCCCTGTTGGTTAATCAGTTAGGCATTCGTCTTTTTTTCTGTTGCTCTCCTACGGACGTACGCTCCTGCTACGTCACTAATTGGAGCTCAGAAAAGTGTTGATTGGAGTCAGGTGGTGTTTTTGAAATGGGTATTTGGCCCTGGCAGAGAGACCGTTTGATTGTTGCTAGCTTTGCTATTGTGTGCATCAGCGTTTTTTATGGGAGCTGTGACCAGCGGTAAGGGAAGCTGAAATGGTTACCCTTTTAGAGTTTTTTGTATATATATTACACTCGCGTTTGGAAGTAGCAAAGTCTATTTTGAGTGCCCCTTGTTCTTGACCAGCTTTCCGCAGTGTAGTGCGTTTGCCGATGGAAAGGGGTAGATTGCAGAAGCAGAATGACTAACCTGTCTGACCTTCTTTTAAATGTATTTAATAAAGATTTGTGTTTTTATGAAATAAAACCTGTGCAATTCAATTTTAGGGACTTAATTCCCCCTTGTTCTGATATAACATATTAGTTGTAGTTTAAGGGGTGGTGTGGTCAGCTGTCTACAAGGGGGTGTTACAATTTGGCGCAGTCGGCAGGATATTTTTTTTTTTTCGCTAATTGTCGGTATTTGGTTGGTCATATCAGCGGCAGCAGTGGTGTGTGTGTGTGTGTGTGTGTGTGTGTGTGGCTGCACAGGTGAATAGAGAACAGCAGCTGGTCATAAGATGGACGGCACTGGCGAGGGATCCAATGTGGAGCGGCTGTGGGAACAAGTGAACCAGCTCCAAGCTGAAAACCAAAGACTGTCTGACACATACAGTGGAGGCATCAGGGACAATGTTCATGATAATGGTGCCCAGCTTACATGACGGGAACAGACTCTTTTTCTGCCGAGAGAGAGACGGTGCCCTAAATTCTCTGGCTCTATAGCGGTGGGGTCTCCATGTGTGGAAAAATGGGTTGAGGAAGCACAGAGTTGTATTAGGTCAAGATATATGTCTGACTTGGAGAAAGCGTTGTTTTCGTATGATCATTTAGAAGGGGAAGCACAAAATGAGATTAAATATCAACCTGTAACAATTAGAGAGAGCCCAACAGAAATCATTAGGATTTTAAAAGAGGTATATGGGTGTTCAAAGTCTTATGTGTTCTGGCAGCAGTGTTTTTTTTTGATAGGAAACAAAAAAAGAATGAGTCCTTATTTGAGTTTTCACATGCATTGATGGAACTCATGGAAAGAGTTAAAGTCTAAGACTGATGCTATTGCTAATCCTGACCAAGTATTGAGAGACCAATTTTGTGAGAATGATTATGACCATACCTTGCGGAGGGAGCTCAAGAGACTGGTGCGGGCCGAGGGGGGATTGACCCTTTTGGATGTAAGGCGGGAGGCAATTAGGTGGGTGGAGGAGGGTCAATCAGGTCGTGACCGAGGTCATCGTGCTCCGTGGCGTGCCAGTGAGATGCATTATACATCTCAGTGTGAGGCTGCCTTTGCCCAAACCTCTGAATTGGCAGAATTAAAAGATATGGTTGTGAAACAGCAGGCCCAGTTAGATATGTTGGTTAAGCATTTAGGGAAATCTACCAGTAAATCTTATGGTCCACAGCCATACAGGGGAGGTCATTCTAGACACGCTCCTGATGGGCAACCTATCTGTTTTCGATGTGATAAACCTGGACATATAGCTTGTTACTGCTTCTTCCATAAGCAGTAGCAGATTGGTTCCCCATGCTTCCTTTGAAGACCCTACTAGTCAGCCAGGGGCTCCAGTTAATGCCTCCACTAGTCAGTCGGGAAACTAGAAGCCTCCAATGTGCAGGGCCACGCACTGGGAGGGAAAGACTCTGGCTCTGTATGTCCTGCTGCTTATGGGCAGTTAGTGGGAAATTGTCCAGTGCTAAATGTGAGCATGGGTGGGGTAGTGGTTCCTTGTCTCATTGATATGTGGTCAATGGGTACAACCATAACAGAGTTTTTTTCGTTGACACTTTCTCCACTTACAAAGGAGAGAATGTAATTGGTTAGGTCTTGAAGCAACTAATGGGTTAGATATACCTTACATTGGCTATATTGAAATGGATGTAATAGTTCTGGGGCAGTGTATTCCAGGGAGGGGAATATTGGTTGTAAGGGACCCAGGGGAGGTGACCCTCCAAGGCTGTAAGATGGCAGTCCCAGGCATATTAGGTATGAATACGCTTGGTGAATGTTACAAGATTCTTTTTGCGCAACATGGTTCTCAGCTTTTCCATTTCCCTCCAGTTAAGGCAGCGGCCCTAGCCGCCCTGCATGCTCTGAGACAGTGTGAGAGGGTCAAGGCCATTGTCAATGCTTCTAAACTCTTTAAAGTTCAGGGGAAATCTCCCATCTGTCTGGGAGCCGGTGCCCTTACTATGGTTCCAGTTACAGGCTTTTTCATTTGAAATGCGGCAGTGTTCGTTCGCGAAAGCGAAAAAGCAAACGGTAATGCAAAATTTGCAGTTGCATTTGAATTATGTCACACTTTATGCGTCCACATATGTAAAACGCAATTGCAAATGCAATTTGCAATTCCTTTTGAAAAATGTCCGGAATTTCCCTTGGACTTTGCTTTTTCATTTGAAATATGGCAGTGTTCTATGGAGTTAATTTTGTGCCAAAAGTATCAATCAAAATTTTGAAAACCGCAAGCAAATCATTAAGTATCAGAATGAAAATTTGTATTCCAAATATCAAAAAAGTCAAATAAAATCATTTTATCCTTCTTCTTCTCTAATTTGTTTTGCTTCTGGAATGTTTTTCTTTGCTTTTGGATTTTTTTTGGATGGGTTGGTGA